GAGCATTGACCCATGCACCAAGAGGTCGCTGGTTCAATTCCTGGTCAGGACACATGCCCAGGTTGTGGGTCCAATCCCCAGTGGAGGGTATGCAGGAGGCAGCCAATCGATGTTCTCTCTCATCAATGTTTCTATCTCTCCCTCTCCCTACCTCTCTCTCTAAAATCAATAAAGAAAAAAAAAGGTTGTGGGTTTGATTCCCAGTCAGGGCACATGCCCGGGTTGCTGGCTCGATCCCCAGGAGGGGGCATGCAGGAGGCAGCGGATCAATGTTTTGCTCCCACATTAATTGTTTCTCTCTTTTTCTCTCTCCATCCCTTCTCCTTCCTCTCTGTCTAAGAATCAATAAAATTTTTTTTTAATTATATAAAATAAATAAATAAAAGAACCCCTAACTTTTAAAAAACCCTCAAGTTGAGGCACATTCTACAAAACAACTGTTCAGTACCCTTCAGAAGTGTCAAGGTAATCAAAACAACTACATACAATGTGGGATTCTGGAATTTTTAAAAAGCACAGTAATAGAAAGAATTGGTTAAAAATAAATAATTTATGCACTTCAATTAATAGTATACCAAGGTTAACTTCTTAGCTTGTTAATTGTTCTATGGTTATATAAGATGTTAACATAAGAGTAAGGTGGGTGAAGGGTGTATGGAAATTCTCTATACTATTTTCAGAAATCTTCTGAAAATTTATGATTATATTATTATTATCCTCACCTGAGGATATTTTTATTCTATTTATCTTCAGATAGAGTGGGAGGGAGAGAAAGGGAGAGAGAGAGAGAAAAACATTGATGTGAGAGGGACACATCGACTGGTTGCCTCCCACACGACCCCAACCCGGGCCAGGGATGAACCACAACCGAGGTACATACCCTTGGCCGGAATCAAACCTGGGACTCATTGGTCTGCAGGCCGACACTCTACCGCTGAGCCAAACCAGCCAGGGAGAAATCTCCTGAAAATTTAAAATTATCTCAAAATAAAACATTTTTTAAAATGTAGTGACCCAAATTGTACCTATTGTTTCAATAAGGGTAATTTTAAGATTACTTTTCTGTGTAAGACAGGAAGAATATTTCATATACAGTTGGTATATTCACTTTAATTTTTAGTTCTTTTATTATATATTGAATATATATAAAGTTTATTGTAAAGGGTTACAATAACATGAGCAAAGTGTAGCTTGAAGCCTTCAGTATGCTTTTCTCCATCCCATCCCCCTCTCCCTAACCTCTAGTCTGAATTTTATATTTTTCATTTTCTTGCTTCTCTCTATAGGTTTACCTTGAAAGTATATATTCCTAATGATATAGTTTTGCATGATCTTTAACTTTATGTAAATGGAATAATAATGTACATAATTTTTTGCAATTTGTTTTTTTCCTAAATATTATATTCCGGAGATTTAACAATGTTAATGTGTATAACTGTAGTTCTCTCATCTTTACTACTATATAGCTTTCATTATATGGACATACTACAAGTTATTTCTCCATTCACCATTAATAGCCATCTGGTTGGTTTTGAGGTTTGCTGTTATGATCAGTGCTATTGCACACATCCTTGTATATACCATTTTATGAGAGTTTCCCTAGGATTTATACCTAAAAATGGACTTATAGGGTAAATGCTAGGCTAAAGGGTAAATGCTCCATTAACTTCATTAGGTAAGGCCAAATTGTTTTCCAAGGTGGTTATCTGATTTATAATACCACCAACAATATGTAAGTGTTCTGGTAGTTCCACTTTCTCTCTCTAACAATATTATTAGACTTTAAATTTTTTTTACCAACCTGGTGGGCATGTATATTAAAATTTTAAAGTATTACTATTTATTGATTGACTACTTTGAGCCAAGCAAAGCGGCAGACATTTTTATACCTTATTTAATTTAACCCTCTCACAGCTCTTCTCAGCCCCTAATGGAAACTAAGGTTGTTCTTAGTGTATAATATATAATTACCCCTAAACCTCTCTCTGACAAATTTATTTCTTAGTGGGTCTTTCTCTATCATGTATCTGCCTAATATATTTTCTGTTTCTTAAAAAAAAATTATCTTGCCCTGGCCAGTTTGGCTCAGCGGTTAAAGCGTCGACCTGTGGTCCGGAGAGACCCGGGTTCAGTTCCCGCTAAGGGCACGTACTTCGGTTGCAGTTTGTCCCCGGCCCTGGTTGGTCGTGCGGGTGGCAGCCACTCGATGTGTCCCTTCACGTCGATGTTTCTCTCTCTCTCTCCCTTCCTCTCTCTCCCTCCCGCTCTATCTGTACAAAAAATGGAAAAATATCCTCGGGTGAGGATTAAAAAAAAAAAAATTATCTTTTTAGAATATATTCAAGGAATTAAGTAGTTAATAACTTGCCCCAAATCATGTTGTCATTAATTAGTAGCAGACTTTGAAATAAACCCAGTTCTCTGCTTCCTAATCCTTTTTTTCCTTTATGTCTTCCATTTCACCCCACCCCCACCCCACACACACACATCCCATTTCTTCCTCCCTTCCCTTACATTCTTCCATCTCTCTTCTGAGGTTAACAGCTTAATGTACTTTTCAGTTGGCTGCTATGTAATGTGATGTGCCTGCAGAAAGCGTCACAAGATTGAGTGAGTGCCTGGTTCCAGCTGAACAGTCACTACTCAAGCCCCGGGTTCACATTCCAAGCCATGCTACTGCGCCTTATAACCAACCATTTCACATTCCAAGCCGAGCTACTGTGTGAATTTGGCCAGACTACCCTCTCAAAATTGCCTGATGGCGCCCTGGCCAGTTTGGCTCAGCGGTTAGAGCGCAGCCTGCGGCCTGGAGAGACCCGGGTTCCGTTTCCCCTAAGGGCGCGTCCCTGGGTTGCAGTTTGTCTCAGGCCCTGATGGGTCGTGTGTCCCTTTCATGTCGATGTTTCTCTCTCTCTCTCTTCCTCTCTCTCCCTCCCACTCTATCTGAACAAAAAATGGAAAAATGTCCTTGGGTGAGGATAAAAAAAAAAAATTGCCTGATGGCCCTGTAAGAGTTGGAGAGAATCCAGGGCTTCAGGACATCCATCCTTGGCTCTCCTTTCTCAGCAGCAGTAGTAACCCCAAGTCTATTGTGGGGTGTAGGCAAATAGAGTAGGACTGGGTGCCTAGAGAATGAATATTAGAACTGCTAACATTGGTAGGAGAACACAGATTCTATTGACAGAAGAAATAGAAACCTTGGGTTGGGATACAAAACTTGTAGCTAACAAGCACAAGTGAATTTTGTTTGATCTGCACAATATTTAATTTTCTTTTTTGTATTTGAATACTTTCATAAAAGGCATGCACTCACCAATTTGTCACAATACCCAGCACTTCATTTTCTACTGTTTCACACCCAACTGCTATTAACTCCCTGGCTCCTAAAGTTATTTGATGCAACTGTATCCTTAATGAAGTCACTTGGGACTCACTGAGGGCAGAACTGGACTCATTCTCATTCCAAAGTGCTCATAGTTGCCCAGGGATTTGCTGCTGCTGCTGTTTTTTCTAAGTTGAATATCCCTTTGCTTCCTGTGAACACCCTTTTACTTAGACTTAAAACTTCCCTCAAGATTATGATCCCCCCACCCACCTAATCTTGTTTTGGATGATTAAGATGAAAATGCCTATAAAGTTTTCTAATGTTGGCTTATCCACACTTAATGAATAAGAGACCGGAAAGAAATAGATTAACTGCAATATATACTTTATTGGCCTCTTCTGAACTGCGTTAAGGATGGAGATAAAGGAGGGAAGAAAGAAGGGGTTTTCTGTATAGCAAACTCATGGGATTTGATAAAATATAACTATTAAAAAGTTAAGTGCCCTGGCCGGTTTGGCTCAGCGGTTAGAGCGTCCGCCTGCGGTCCACAGAGACCCGGGTTCGGTTCCCGCTAAGGGCACGTACCTTGGCTGCAGTTTGTCCCCGGCCCTGGTTGGGTCGTGTGGGTGGCAGCCACTCGATGTGTCCCTTTCACATCGATGTTTCTCTCTCTTCCTCTCTGTCCTTCCCGCTCTATCTGAGTAAGAAATGGAAAAATGTCCTCGGATGAGGATAAAAAAAAAAAAAAAAAAAGTTAAGGAACACGACTCACGTATAAATGTAAAATGAACAGGTGTCAAATATTTTATTAAACTCATTAATTAATGAAGAAGTGAGTAATATGTTAAGACCAGTTCAAGTGAAAATTTAGGAGCTAAGTATTTATAGGCAATTTAATAAAGAAATGTTAAGATAAGATTTCTGAATTATACACAAAACTATTTAAGTCCTAAAGTGTATAAAGCATAACCTTTGGAGATATTTTTTCACCAAACTTAAATATTTGTATCTCTACTAAATAAATATCTACAAATTAACCTCTGCCTTACAGAGTTATAGAATACTACAGTCAATAGAAAACGAATCAAAGGTGTAAGCCCAAAACTGTACCGAAAGATCACCCAATGATTTCTTTTACCTGTTTCCAAGTTTCAAATAATTTTTCTGATAGATTGTAGTCATCAGTTTAGACTTGGCTGCCAGGAATTGGTATCTGTTTCCCAAGCTTTGAAAATATAACTTTATGTTGAAGACATTAAATAAATTATAAAATTTAGCTTATGTATCTTAGAGGTAGATTTTTTTTTTTTTTTTAAATCCTCATCTGAGGACATTTTTCCATTCTTTGTACAGACAGAGTGGGAGGGAGAGAGATGAAGAGAGAGAGAGGGAAACATCGATGTGAAAGGGACACATCGAGTGGCTGCCACCCGCACGACCAACCAGGGCCGGGGACAAATTGCAACCGAGGTACATGCCCTTAGCGGGAACCGAACCCGGGTCTCTCCGGACCGCAGGCCGACGCTCTAACCGCTGAGCCAAACCGGCCAGGGCTAGAGGTAGATTATTTTTATGTCAGAGATCAAGTTCCAAGTTTCTTAAAAATATGTTTAAGTGAAATGTTATCAGCATGAGAAATTCTCATTCTGAATCTTTTATTTCCTTTACAGAAATTCTGTCAAATTATAGTTGGTACTACTCTGCAATGTCTATATTGGACAGCCAGAGTGAGGAAAAACAAAGTGGAGGTAGGTGAACTGAGTAGGAGATATCTAAGTTTGTATGTCATTATTATTGCCTCTAAAAAGTGTGTGTGTGCATGTATATGTGTGCATATATTGTAAACAGACTGGCCAGCCTACCAGTAAAACTACCAATCTACCAAACTACTGACCAGGAAAGGAAATATGCTTTGCAGAGGTAAGCACTTTGTACTTATTAGTATAAGCTCTACTATTTTGTTATCTGAGAATTTTAATTGGAGTAGCTACAATCTCTCATCTTTTGTACTTTTTTATTTGGAAGTTCACCTGGAACGCACGTGTTCCTTTTTCTTTCCCCATCCTTCACAACCACCTTCTGCTAAAAAGCAGTGGTCACTGTGAAAAGAAGTTGCCAAGGAAGATAAGGTTATCCTTTGCAACCTTTTTGTGGCTAGAGCAAATGGATCTGCCCATAGTGTTAGAAAGTATTTTCATAATGCTTTCATGTTTTCCTTTGGTGAAGCCAAGTACTAAAAGGAACTGGGGTACTCACACCCAAGCCAGCTTTCAGGATGAAACTGCCTGACATGAGAAAAACTAAAGTTTTTTACATAAAACTTTGAAAAACCAAGCCAGAATATAGTTCTATATTTCAGCTTTATTTTGAGTAGTAAATAAGGTATGGACAATGAAATTAGGTCACTGATTTAAGGCCACACTGTGCCTTCTTTACTTTCTGTGATTGTGCAGATGTCTGATTCCTGGAGAGAGCTCATTCTAAGGGCACAGACCCTAATTCCAGGAAGAGAAAGTCAGTAAACTCCCAACCAAGGGAAAACCAGGGAGTTGTCTCCTATTCTCATAACTACTAAAGGAGAAAGGGCTGAGGAAAACAAACTAACTGACCAATTTCTTCTGCATGTTCTTATGAACAGAGTAATATAAAGAGAACAGAATATTTTAGGGAGTAGTAAATTCAAGGCAAATGAAGAATGCATTAATCATTAATAAAGACTTATTTATTCAACAAATGTTTATCAACCATGAGACGAATGCCAATGACTGTGCTACATGCTGGCAGTACAGTGGCAATACAAACTAGACAGAATCCTGCTCTTATGGAGATTATGGTTTAGTGAGGGATAGCCTTTGATTAAGTAATAGCCTTTGATTAAATAATAGCACATAGAAATATCAAATTATATCTACAATAAGTTCTGTGAAGAAAGGTCACATGGGAGGTATAGTGGTTACGAGCATGGATTCTGGAGCCATACTCTCTAGGTTTGAATCCTAGCTCCACACTTACTATGTTTTCTTGGGCAAATCTCTTCTTCTTTTTTTTTTTTTTTTATGCTACAGTTTCTCATCTATAAAATGAAGCTAATAATAAAATTATGCTACCTCATAAGGCTGATGTGAGGATTAAATGAGGTAATATTTGTAAACATTTAGGACAGTATCTGGCACATGGTAAACATTACGTAAATGTATAAAAATAATCTTATGAGCCCTGGCCGGTTTGGCTCAGCGGTTAGAGCGTTGGCCTGCGGTCCAGAGAGACCCAGGTTCGGTTCCCGGTAAGGGCACGTACTTCGGTTGCAGTTTGTCCCCGGCCCTGGTTGGGTCATGGGGGTGGCAACCACTCAATGTGTCCCTTTCATGTTGATGCTTGTCTCTCTCTCTCCCTTCTACTCTATCTGAATAAAATATGGAAAAATGTCCTCGGGTGAGGATTAAAAAAATAATAATAATCTTATGAGCCTGGCCGGTGTGGCTCAGTGACTGAGCATCAATTCATGCACCAAGAGGTCGCTAGTTTGATTCCTGGTCAGGGCACATGCCCAGGTTGTGGGCCAAATCCCCAGTGAGGGGCATGCAGGAGGCGGCCAATCAATGTTCTCTCTCATTAATGTTTCTATCTCTCTCTTCCTCTCCCTTCTTCTCTTTAAAATAAATAAAGAAAAAAAAATGTATTAAATAAAAATCTATGAGTGATGCTTTTGTTCAGGAAGATAATTAAGAATGTGAACATTTAGGCACAGACTGAAGATGGTGGCAGGCAGGACTGGAGCGAGGCTGAGTGTGTGAGAGTGTGAGTGAGTGTGAGAGAGTATGAGTGGACATGAGTGTGGATGAGCAACCTCGAGCAGTGCAGAAAGGTGGGGCAGAGGGTTCCTGTGCTGTGGACAGGGAGCACCCTGCTACCTTGGTAAGTGGCTTGTCAGAACACGTCTCCCTGCGCCGCCCAAAGGCCCCACCATCTTGGAAGATCCCTGGTTGGCTCTGGGAGGAGGCAGTGGGAGCAGCTAGGGCTGAGCGACCTAAAACCTCCAGTGCACCTTGCACCATTGGACCAGTGGACCCTGCTGTGTCAACACAGACTATTGCACAGGAGCAGCACTGTAGCAGCGTTGTCAAGATGTCTGCTGCAGAAGCTGAAACAAGTTGGGAGCCAGGCACCATCCCCCCACAGCAGCAGCCTGATTGGAGCAGAGACACACCCCCAACAACAGAGGCTGGGGAGCAGACATCCATCCCCAGGCAGCAGCAACACAGACAGGCAACTGAGACCCATCCCCAAGAGCATCAGTAGAGGCTGATTGGGAGCTGAGCCCCAACAGGCAGCAGCGCACCCCAGCCAGGACCAGTGGGACCCGTGACCCAGCAGCCCATGGGGCCTGTGTGATGACCCAGTGGTCTGCTACACTAGTGAGACCACATGACAACTCAGCAGCAGTGCCTACCACGACACACCAGTACCAGCCTCCAGTAGTCAGTCCTCCAGGACCCATAGCAGGCAAGAGGCACCACACACCAAAACAGTCTGGGAGGCACAGCAGTCTTATTTGGTACACACTGACCTACCTACACATCCCAACATCCCTCACTGGGCCTAGAACTACCAGATGGCTACAATGGGGAGACAAAGAAACAATACCCAAATGAAAGAAAAGGAGGAATCACTAGAAAAAGGAACTACATGAAATGGAAAAAAGCAATTTGACAGACAAAGAATTTAAAGCAATGATTTTAAGGGTGCTCAAAAAATTCAGTGAGAGCCCTGGCCAGTTTGGCTCAGTGGTTAGAGCGTCGGCCTGCGGTCCTGAGAGACTCGGGTTCGGTTCCCGCTAAGGGAACATACCTCGGTTGCAGTTTGTCCCCGGCCCTGGTCGGTTGTGTGGGTGGCAGCCACTCGATGTGTTCCTTTCACATCGATGTTTCTCTCTCTCTCTCTCTCTCTGTTCCTCTCTCTCCCTCCCACTCTACCTGAACAAAAACTGGAAAAATATCCTCCGGTGAGGATAAAAAAAATAAAAAAAAAATTCAGTGAGAGCTACAAGCAACTAAATGAGAATTAAAAGAGCTCAGCTTAAAAAAGAGGTAGAAGCTATGAATAAAAATCAAGAGAAGCCCTGGCCAGTTTGGCTCAGCGGTTAGAGCGTCGGCCTGCGGTCCGGAGAGACCCGGGTTCAGTTCCCGCTAAGGGCACGTACTTCGGTTGCAGTTTGTCCCTGGCCCTGGTTGGTCGTGTGGGTGGCAGCCACTCGATGTGTCCCTTCACGTCGATGTTTCTCTCTCTCTCTCCCTTCCTCTCTCTCCCTCCCACTCTATTTGTACAAAAAAATGGAAAAATATCCTCGGGTGAGGATAAAAAAAAAAAAAAAATCAAGAGAAAATAAAGAATGACGTAGCTGATATGAAAAATACCTTAGAAGGATTCAACAGTAGATTAGAAGAAGCTGAAGACCGAATCAGTGAGTTAGAATACAAGGTAGAAAAAAAAAAACCCTCCCAAATAGAACAGCAAATGGGGAAAAACATTAAAAAACGAGAGGAGAGTTTAAAGGGAGCTTTGGGACAATACAAAACATAACAAAATTTGCATCATAGAGGTACCAAAAAGAGAAGAATCAGAGAAAGGAATAGAGAACCTGTTTGAAGAAATAATGACAGAAAACTTCCCTAAACTGGTGAAGGAAAAAGTCACACAAGTCCAGAGTCCCAAGCAAGATGAACCCCAGAAGACCCACAGTTAGACACATCAAATTAAAATGGCAAACGTTAAGGACAAAGAAAGAATCTTTTTTTTTTTTAATCCTCATCCAAGGACATCCTTCCATTTTTTGTTCAGACAGAGTGGGAAGGAGAGAGAGAGAGAGAGAGAGAGAGAGAGAGAGAGAGAGAGAGAAACGTTGACATGAAAGGGACACATTGAGTGGCTCCCACCTGCACTACCAACCAGGGCTGGGGACAAACCGCAATCGAGGTATGCGCCCTTAGCGGGAACCAAACCCGGGTCTCTCTGGACTGCAGGCCGATGCTCTAACCGCTGACCCAAACCAGCCAGGGCCAAAGAAAGAATCTTAAAGGAAGCAAGAGAGAGACAGAACTACAAGGGAGTTCCCATTAGACTGTCAGCTGATTTCTCAATAGAAACACTGCAGGCCAGAAGGGAGTGGCATGAAATGTACAAAGTAATGAAAGGCAAGGGTCTGAATCCAAGACTACTCTATCCAGCAAAGCTATCATTCAAAATTGAAGGTGAAATAAAGAGCTTCACAGACAAAAAAAAGCTAAAGGAATTTACCACCACTAAATCAGCACTGCAGGAAATGCTAAAGGGACTGCTGTGAGAAGGAGAAATAGAAAGAGAGAGAGGAACACAGGCATAAAATTAAAATGGCAACTAATAAGTATCTATCAATAATAACCTTAAATGTAAATGGCTTAAATGCCCCAATCAAAAGACATAGGGAGCTGATTGGATAGGAAAACACTACCCATATATATGCTTTCTACAAGAGACCCACCTCACAACAAAAGATTCATACAGGATGAAAGTGAAGGGATGGAAAAAAATTTTCCAGGCAAATGAAAATGAAAAAAAAGCTGGTGTACGAATACTCATATCTGATAATATAGACTTCAAAATGAGGGCCATAATAAGAGACAAAGAAGGTCACTACATAATATTAAAGGGATCAATCCAACAAGAGGATATAACCCTGGTAAACATATATGCACCAAATACAGGAGCACCA